GATGTAGTGGCTACATTAGTTTTCTTTTTTCAAGCCTTTTCAATTTATTTTTAAATAGAGTAAAAATAAACACTTAAAGGATAAGTTCACCTTTTAGACAAAAATATTAAATACACATTTTTTCGCAGGTAAAAAATAAAGTGTATTTATTATTTTTGTCTACAGGAGCCTGGAAAGCATTGCACTAGTGATCAGTAGATCACTGATGCCATGCAGGTCTCCTGCAGACCTGTCAGAATATCTGCTTGTCGTACGGGATGTATGAGCAAGCAGATATTCTGACAGGAAGCTTAAATGAACTACCATGGCGCTCCACAGCGCCGCAGTAGTTCATTGAAAACTACAGGTCAACAGCCACTGGGGCTGTTGGGATTTGCAGTTCATTCATTCACAGAAGTCCGTTTATGAATTATGTGGCCGTGTGGGCAGAGCCCCGCACGGCCGCACTGTTTTCAAATTTGACTGTTCGGGGAGAAGTCTCCCCGTACTATCTGTCAGAGGGAGTGGGGCTGGGCGGCAGCTGTGGCTATGGGAACGTTCCCTAAAAACGGGTGGAACATGTAACATGTTCCCAAAGGTAAACTTATCCTTTAATATCAATAAACTGTTTTAAATTGTCATACAAATATATATTAGAAATCAAACCTTTATTATTTTTGGCAATACCATGGTGTGGACGGATTTCTGCCATTCACAGCCTGTGTCTTAGAATAACAGAGAGGTGAAGTCTCCATAAATCAAGATGTAATACACCTCCTTTGTGTTTAGCTGGTTAGTGGGCAGGGAGCTGTTATTTCACACTGTGTATACGCCCACAGGTGTGACTCTATAGTCCTGTATAGTCACTGTATAGCATGTGCACTAGCTGCCAACACTGCTCTGCAAAATCCCCAACTGAATTGGGGACATGGACAGAAGGGGGAGATAGAGAACAGCAGGATCAACCAGGTTTTTTGTAGAATACAGAAATGAATCCCATAGTGAATGAGTGAGTATGAACTGCATGTAATACAACATTTATTGATAGTTTTTTATGATGTGGGTTTAGTGACACTTGCCGACTGCAGACAGTCAAATCACGGCTTCACTGCGGCCGGCCAGTTCTGGGAGGGCATCATATGACACCCTCCCAGAATGCGCTCACCTGCACGCCCCTGGGGGGCACGCATCTGGTGATCTGGTGAGAGGTGAAGTCTCCATAAATCAAGATGTAATACACCTCCTTTGTGTTTAGCTGGTTAGTGGGCAGGGAGCTGTTATTTCACACTGTGTATACGCCCACAGGTGTGACTCTATAGTCCTGTATAGTCACTGTATAGCATGTGCACTAGCTGCCAACACTGCTCTGCAAAATCCCCAACTGAATTGGGGACATGGACAGAAGGGGGAGATAGAGAACAGCAGGATCAACCAGGTTTTTTGTAGAATACAGAAATGAATCCCATAGTGAATGAGTGAGTATGAACTGCATGTAATACAACATTTATTGATAGTTTTTTATGATGTGGGTTTAGTGACACTTGCCGACTGCAGACAGTCAAATCACGGCTTCACTGCGGCCGGCCAGTTCTGGGAGGGCATCATATGACATCCTCCCAGAATGCGCTCACCTGCACGCCCCTGGGGGGCACGCATCTGGTGATCTCCATGATCGCTGTGTCCTACGGACACAGCTGATCATGTGATATGGTAAAAGGTCAATCACAGCGGCCTTTTACCACGTGATCAGTGATGTCCAATGACACACTGATCACTGGGAAATGCAATTGCCGGTTATCAGCTGCACTTTCCTTACACTGTAACAGCGTGAGAAATGTACTGCCAAGAACTGGCAGTTTTCAGAGGCGGGATCGGCACCAATCATCAAGGCACTGATGATCAGTGCCCTGATGATCGGTGCCCAGCAGTGCCACCCACCTGTGCCCAGCAGTGCCACCCACCAGTGCCCAGCAGTGCCACCCACCTGTGCCAATTAGTGCAGCCCAGCAGTGCCATCCATCAGTTTCACCAGTCAGTGCCCATCAGTGTTGCCTATCAGTGCCCATCAGTGCTGCCTATAAGTGCAGCCTCATCAGTGAAGGAGAAAAATTACCTGTTTGCAAAATTTTATAATAGCAACAAAGAAAAATTTTCTAAATTTTTTCAAATTTTTTGCTTTTTTTTGTTTTATAGAGCAAAAAATAAAACACCCAGTGGTGAGTAAATACCACCAAAAGAAAGCTCTATTTGTGTGAAAAAAATGATAAAAATGTCATATGGGTACAATGTTGCATGACCGCGCAATTGTCATTCAAAGTGCGAGAGCAATGAAAGCTGAAAATTGGCCTGGTAAGGAAGGGGGTATAAGTGCCCGGTGGGCAAGTGGTTAGGGGAACAATCTTTTATGTCTCTTGTTTTGTGTTCTGTAAACCTGAAATAGAGCTCTGCATGTAAAGCAAACACAAAGCTATCACAACACTTGTTTATGAAGATGTTTTTTTTTTCTAGTAAAAGCAAGAGACATATTTGAAACAGATCTAACAGATTAGTAAGATTGTATCAAGCATTCATTGATGGGAATCCCCCTTCAGTGCTGTAGAAACCTTCAGTATGGTTTGTTTAACAGGAAAACCTTGACATACAGTATCTGAAAGGGAGAAGTAACAGCAGATGTGCCACCATATGTCCAAATATAGGTGACTACTATTAGTCATGATTATAGGTCAGGTTTTAAAAAGAAAACTAAAGCAATTCACAAAAGGAGAACTTGTTTTTTAAGAGAACCGGTCCTGATTGGGCAAGAATCTCAGAATATAGTATTATGTGAAATGAATAAATTTCTGCAGGCTAAAGTTGGCCTTACATGCTTTGGATTTCTTTCGGTCAGCCCTGCAGGCTGAACAAGAGAAATCCACTGTTTCACTGAACCAGTGGCATGGAGGAATGTCAGCTGTCGGTGATTGTATGCTGCTGCAGCAGCTGCTGAATGCCTGATAAATGCTTGCATCTGATTGTACTGATCCTCCACTTCTTGGGTCCTCCGCTGACGCTCCTGGCTCCCCAATAGCAAGCCGCTTGCTGCCACTGATGTGTGCTTGCCCCCCGAGCCCAGCTCTATGCATCCATAAGACAAATACAGGTGTGGCTTGGCTGCACCCCCACTCTCTCCTTATTGGCCCACTGGCTGTGATTGTAAGCAGTGGGAGCCAACGGTGTGTCTCAGCCAATGAGGAGAGAGAGAGTCGGGATAGCCAAGGCTCCTGTGCGCATCACTGGATCGAGAGGGGGCTCAGGTGAATATTAAGGGGGGGAGGCTGTGGGGGGAGGCAGCACACCGGAGGTTGTTTTACCTTCCTGCATAGATTGCATGAGGGTAACAAACTTTCAGCCTTTACAATCGCTTTAAAGTGACAAACTCTGGTTAAAAAGAAAGTTAATGTATATATTCTTCTTTTAAAAATACCTTCTTTTGCTCTTGGCCTCCTCTAAATCTCCATATTATCCTTTTTAAGAGGCCCTGTCACCAAATCCAGGTAAAAGCGCAGATAAATCTTTTTACCTTCAGCACTTTCCATAAACAATTTTATATTGACTTTTTGACAATTTGCTAGGTAATTGGAAATCCAGAAAGTTACCATTTCCCAGTAGAGCCTCTCCCTCTTTGCAGGTCACAGCCTTCACTTGATAGTTTCTAAATCCTGTCTGTGCTGGCCCAGCTACTCTAACCCTCACCTCCATACATAATCTTTCATGTAGCAATCAGAGGAGGAGCAAAGAAATGGAATGCTATAAAGCAATGTTTCTCAACCTTTTTTCGGTCAAGGCATCCTTTAAAATTATGGACAGTCCCAAGGCACCCTTTAAAATTATGGACAGTTTTTCCATAATTTTAAAGGGTGCCTCGGGACTGTCCATGACTTTAAAAAGGGCACCCCATTCTAAAATGTGAAAAACTATTCTAATAGTTTTATATAATGCAGCAACATCCACACATGTAGGACACCCAACATTAGAGGTGATTTATTCATCCACAGCAAATACACTTTTGCACACTGGTACTGACTAGTATTCCAATGTTTCTCTTCTCCCTCAGTTTTTCTCCATCACTGAGCTAATGTGACCTCAGCACTGATGGAGAGGGGCAGGGAGGGTCAAACTGGGATGCTGTGCAGGCAACCAACATCCTCCTTATCAACTGGTGATGTCATTGGTTGTCAGGACGCCGGCGGCTAGAAGGTCATTATGGTGTACAATGAAAACCTATGGCTTTGTGTAACTAAGGCTACGTTCACACTAGCCTTGTGTGCAGGCGGCAGAGAGGCGTTTGGGAAGCGTTTTTACCGCTTCCCAAACGCCTCTGCCAATTCTGCACATTACAGCACATGGTGCTGTTCTAACAGAGCGTTTGCGTCGCGTCGCGTTGCGTCGCGGCAAAACGGACGCCTCTGGTCGAGTCAGGAGGCTTTGAAGCCTCCTATTCTCGTCTATGGTGCCGCTCCGCAAACTCCCGGCCGGCGTTTGCGGTGCGGTTGCGACGCGGTTGCGGGGTGTTTGCGGAGCGGTAACACCACTCAAATGCATTATAGGCGTTTGTGGGGCGTTATTAACGCTCGGCAAACGCCTAGCAACCGCCGCTAAACCGCGCATGCGGCGTTTGCGGAGCGTTTGCCGAGCGTTAAAAACGCTCTGCAAACACCGGACCAACGCTTGCCAAACACTATAGGGGCGTTTGGCAAGCGTTGGCAAAACAGCCTAGTGTGAACGAGCCCTAAAGGGCAGGCTTGTTCCACGCGCCGGCTTGTATACAAGTTTGGGCAATTTTTAGACATTTTGCAAGGCACCCCTGAAGAAAACTCAAGGCACCCTAGGGTGCCTGGGCTCCCTGGTTGAGAAAGGCTGCTATAGAGTCACATAAATGACAGCTTTGAGTTTGCCATGGTTGCTGACATGACATCCAAGATGACAGTGCTCAGCAGCAGTCGCAGGGCTTTTGGGTGTCAACAGGGGCGGACTGACAACTCATGGGGCCCCCGGGCAATAGGGGATCATGGGGCCCCTGTGTCCTTGCCCAAACTCAAAAAAGCCTATGAAAAAGGTACCAGGGGCATCTCATTGGGCCCCCTACTGACCCCGGGCCCGCGGGCAGTGCCCGAGTTTTCAAATGGTCAGTTCACCCCTGGGTGTCAACACAAGGGAGAACGTTACAGAGAAATAACATTCCTAAAATCTGTTAAATGCTGCTCTCCATCCTGCCCCCACCTCACCCACGCTACACAAATATCTGCACTTCTTTTTTTTTTTTTTTTTGCTTTTTTCCATAAATTAAGTTTTGGTCCCGCCTCCATCCTCCTTGATTGTCTAGGTGAATGATGTCAGAACCCCTGGTGCCTTCTGGGATACGTGATGTGCATATCCCAAGAGGCACCAGGAGCACTGGCTGGGTGAGAATCTGAACTGAGGACAATCCAGCATTAGGTAAGCAGAGGAAAAAATGTAGGGGGGGGGGGTGAAGTTCCTCTTTAGTCCTCATGCACACTGATAATAATTTTTGAAGCAAGCAGCGTTTCGACCAAAAAAAAAGCTTGACGCTTTTAAAAATATGTACCGCGCTTGGGCGTTAATTAATTTAATTGGCCAGAATAAATCATTTATTCTGGCCCCATTGAAATAAATTAACATTCAAGCACTACATGCACCTAGGATTAACATGTGTTTAGGCGTGATTAAGCACGTCAAGCGTTTTTTTCAGCCAAAACACTGCTGCTCCAGGATGCCCTGTCAGTAGGGTTTTTTTTTTCTGCCGCAAAACACTGCTAAAATCCTCTGTGTGCATGAACACAGGATAACATGAAAGGGGGTTTAGAGGCAGTTAAAAAAAAAACCTTGATGCCCCTAAGAGCAGCTGTAAAAACATCCAGTGTGAATATATACCTTGTCATGACAGCAGGGGCGGACTGACAACTCATGGGGCCCCCGGGCAATAGGGGATCATGGGGCCCCTGTGTCCTTGCCCAAACTCAAAAAAGCCTATGAAAAAGGTACCAGGGGCATCTCATGGGGCCCCCTACTGACCCCGGGCCCTCAGGCAGTACACGAGTTTCCAAATGGTCAGTCCGCCCCTGCATGACAGAAATATACGGACATTCATTGCTGAAATCTGAAATGCTAGTTGGCTGGCTGTAATTCTGGCTCACGGGCTTCAATGCAGAGTAGCTCAGGTTAGTTTGAACAGCAAACTTAAAGGAGTTTAAGTTTACCTTTGAAAAAAAAAATGCACTTTTTTTGCAGGTAAAAAAATGTGCATTTACTTTGGGGTTTTTTTTTTTGAGCCTGGAAAGCAGATCACTGGTGCCATGCAGGACTCCTGTAGACTGTCAGTTTAAGCTGTCTAGCCGTACATCGTAGGAGAAGAATCAATGAACTACCAGAGCGCTCAACAGTGTTGTGGTCGTTCATTGAGAACAAAAAGTCAACATCCACAAAGGATGCAGGTACTTGTAGCTGACTCATTCACAGAACTGTGAATGAACGATGCAGCTGTGTGGGCAGAGCCCCGGCATTGCTGCATTCTTTTCAAAAAGTGACAGCTGGTACGGGGAACTTCTCCCCAAACTGCTGTCAAGCGAAGGGCTCAACTTGCTGCAGGAGCAGGAACATGTTACATGTTCCACCGTAAAAACAGGAGAACCATGTAACATGTTCCTGAAAGTGAAATTATTCTTAAGTCCTCATGCACACGGGACATTTTGATAACGCTGGTAACATTAGCTGTGTAAAGTCACATTAAAACATGACTTCTTCAGTTTTTTTTAGCATTTTTGCATTAGCGTTTAGTGGCGTTTTCCCACATTTAGTGGCGTTTTGCATTTGCATTTTTAGCATTTTTTTACCCCCCCTAATTTTTTTTTTTTTTTTTGGTCAAAAAAAGTCCAAAAACCCAGTGTGCAGTGTTTTACCATCTTTTGCCACGTTTTACCGCATTTTGTCACGTTTTTACAGCTAAAAAACTCCTCTAGAATCCCACTAGTCTTGGGGTTTTTTTCCAGCCAAAAACGTTGATTACAGTCTATGTGTACATGGACATATAGGATAACATGCTGGGGCGTGTACTGGCTGTAGAAAAAAACATCAAAAGCCAAAAACAGCCGCTGTAAAAATGTCGTGTGCATGAGGACTTAAAATGGAGTGTTTTTATTATAATCTACCTTGAGAAGACGCTGTGATTTTTGCTGTCAGGTGACATAGGAATGAAGAAAGTATTACTGTGACATTAGGGGTCCATTCACAATCGATGCAGAGGGTCTGCGTTGGGCAGCAATTACAGTTCAGTCCGACCGCAAGACAAGACAAAATGCCTTGTGTCTGATGTGGCTGGTTCACATCATTGCACAGCACAGATCACTGCATACCAGCCGATAAAACTCTATAAAATGTCACTGTGTGACATTTCAATACACTTTGTTTAAAAAAGAAAGTAAAGAGTGTGCTGCACCGGTGTCAGTGCATTAACACTGTGCTGGTCCAGCCTGGCCACACCACACACCAGCTTCTGTGTTGCAAAGCAACTCCTGGTGTGAACGGGCAATGAGGTAACTATGGATCTGTGGAGGGGAAGGGTGGAATTTTGCCAGAAGACTAGAAAAAAGGATAACTGTGCTTTGATTTGTTAGTCTGCTTCTGTTTCAGGTACTTGGTGATAAACTGATCTGCCCTTTTATTTTCTCCCCCTTATCTCTCCATTGTGTTTGTCTAAATTTTCATTTAAAGAGGAGCTCTATTCAAAAGTGTAAGCTCCGCTTATTTGCCTCCTCCCCACCACCACTGCCATATTTGGCACCTTTTGGGGGAGAGCGGGTACCTGGTTTTGATAGTTCTCCGTGGCAAAGTGAGCCGAAAGTTCAGCCATCTTCTTCCTCCCACCTCCTGGGGACCTTCACAGGTCCCAGAAGACTGCCGGACCAATGAGAATATGCAGCACGACTCACGCATGCGCAGTGGGCACCCGGCTGTGAAGCCACAAGCTGTCACAGCCTGGTGCCCACAGTTGTGATGCCGGCACCGGGGAGAGAAGAGGCAGAGAAGGGACGGCGCAGGTGAGTACATCACTGGACATCACTGGACTCTGGGACAGGTAAGTGTGTGTTTATTAAAAGTCAGCAGCCCCAGTTTTTGTAGGTGCTGAGTTTTAATAAACACAAAACTGACTGGAACTATGCTTTAAGGGCATTACCGCAGGCACAATTCCTGTCTGGTAACACCACAGGACCCACTGACTAGGCACATGCTCTGGGCTACAGGAGGTGCTGTGGTGTCCTGTGTGGTGCATGCAACTTCCATACAGCCAGTTCCATCTGGATTAGAAAGGCACAGTTCCTGTCTGGTGACATCTAGCTTCCCACAAGACCCACTGACTGTCTTAGATACACCCTGTGGGCTACTAGGAATTGTCAATCACTGCTGCAGTGTCCTATGTGGTGCACACAACTTCCATACAGCCGGTTTCATCTGGATTAGAAAGGGTTAGCTACAGAGTCCACAAGCCCCTTTCAGTGACAGTCCCAGGATTTAGAAATTCCTTAGCAGTAGTTGGTATGCTGATCGGACGAGGAAGGGGGATATCTGCACAGAGGCTCCCACATTGTCCCAGTGCATATTGAGTCTTGGGACTCAGGAATCCCTCTGCAGCTGACAGTGTAAGTAGTTGTGAAATACAGTAATTTTTTTTCTCAGTGAGTACATCTGACTTGCTGCATTTCTTATTGCATAATGTAGTCAGGTGTTGTCCCGCCAGCTACATAAGCGGTTTCTAACCTCCCCCACCCCCTGCTGGGTCGCATGGCAGCACAGTTGTGCCGTGACAGCGGAGAGATGCAGCTGCAGGCTGTGTGTGAAGTTCCCCACTCTTTTTTGTAGCAGCAGTGAGACCTGTGAAAAGGAAAAGGTGTGCAGCTGCTCCTTCTCCCCTACACCTGATGAGGTAAGCAGGCAAAGGACACTGGGACATGTAGTCCCCTTAGGAGCACTACCCAATGGAGGATATGGGCTCTCAACTACAGCACCCACACAGCCCTACTAAAAGAGGGAGAAAAGAGCAGAGTTTTCTGGGCAAATTCTGTGGGAGGGAAGAGACCAGCTGCAGGGCTCTGCACCCACATCAAAGGGCAAGGAGAGAGAGAGAGAGAGACAGAGACTGAGCCACTGGAATGCCCTTTGCTGTACTGAGGGACTGAGCCATGGTCAGGGTGCAGTTCATGCTGTGCTGAGTAGTGGAGTCATCCCAGGCAACCCAGAGTGACATCTGACCAGAGGGACCGCTGCTTCTGTGTTGCTGGGCCTGGTGATAGGGCCTTGAAGCCATGACCCGTTGCCCCTAGAGATACTGAGCCCTTAGGAACTGACTACACAGCTGTCTTATAGCTCTATCACTGCCTGTAGGCCTTATTGTGACTATTCTCAAGCACACCAATGGTACAATTGGGCCCCAGTGTTAGCTGGCTGAAGACTGAGAACTAAAGACTACCCATTTATAGTAGCAACACAGAGACCTTTTCCCACTGCTTAGTTTAGAGGTACGTCTCAGGGGGATATTTCACAGAACTGATCTTGCTGAACTATAAGTGATTCCAGTCTAGTGGTACAAAACTCAATTCAATGTTATTTTGGCAGAGATTGCATTGTCTAGCAGACTGTGTCTGAATCTATCCTCTGGGTGCCCATTTACACTTATGCCATCATTTATCGTAACTGATATCAATATATTGAGTTAATTGTGTCTATTTTCTGGTACTAACTTACAGCCAAGTTAAAGTTATCTATACTCATGTTCTTGAAGTGACATTCATTCAACCAGGTGTGTCAGAGGGGCTGAAGCCATTCTTGGAGTTGAGGAGCAGAATAGAGAACCCAAGTTACCAAGCACCTGCTTTAGAGGCAGCACTATATTTATAAGGTAATAAGGTTTGCTGTATCTTCCACTTACACAGGAGCATTGAGGAGTACAAACAAGTGTCTCATGCTGTGCAGTCTGATCTGGACTGCAGACACATATAATAAACAGCATCACATTTACTGCATTACACTGTTCACATTTAGGCAAAGCTGTGTGTATTATATCAGATAGACATAATGCCTGAATTATGTCAATCACTGTTAATGTGGGTGTTACAGCAGTGATATGTTGGCTCAACCCAACTTCTTCTACAAGCCAATTCATAGCAAGATGAAAAAGAAGCATGGATGATCATGGTATAAAACAGGGGTCTCCAAACTTTCTAATCAAAGGGCCTTCAATCTTTAGAGGGGCCGGACTGTGGCCAGCAGGAGTAGAAGACGTCCTGGTGTCATTGGCAGTAAAAAAATGCCCCATGACTGGTGGCAGTGGGAGGAATAGTGTTACACTATTGGTATGAGTGGGAGGAATAGTGCCCCATCATTGGTGTTAATCATTGGTGAGAGAAAATAGTGCCCCATCATTGGTGTCAGTGGGAAGAATAGTGCCCCATTGTTGGTGTCAGTGGTAGGAAATATGGCCCACTGTTGCTGACAGTGATGGAATAATGCCCCAAGGGCCAGATAAAATTAAGCAAAGGGCCACATCCAGCTCTCAGGCCACAGTTTGGAGACCACTGGTATAAAACCTCAAATAAATGTTAAAATAAGGGCACAAAGCTGCACAGAAGGCAGAGGAGAAGTATGATTTATATTTCTGCATAACAGAGTTCTGCTTTAAGCTACAAAACCCAGGCAAACAGAAAAATAAACAGTTCACATGCACAAATGAACAGTCTTACCCGACAAAGGATTTGTAATACCCTTAAGCCACTCTTGCCAGTGTCAGGAATGGACTTGCCAATGGTGGTGGGACTCACCTGCCTTGTGGGCTGCAGTACCAGGGCTGGCCAGCGGGTGCTCTCAGCAACCAGAAGCTCACTCCTGCAATCAGCCATCACCTGAGGCTGATTGCAGGAAGTGTATTTAAGGAATGGCCAGACCTGCAGTCAGTGCCTTGGTGTTTGTTTCCCATGTGCCCTGTTTCCTGTATCCTGTCTCCTGCCTGCTCGACTCTCCTGCTTGACTCTGACTCCGCCTGCACTGACCCCGGCTATTCCTGACCATTCTTCTGC